ATAACTGAAGTACAGATTAACGATGAAAAAAATAAATTGAATGAAAATGCATTTTTCTAATGGTTTGTAGTGCAAGAAATCCGAATATGATACTTAAGAGGCTGTATAACCTACAATTGTTTCACATTTGTAAGTTTAAATTATTTTTATATATATATATATATTATAAATTATTAAATAAATATATTTTTGGCAAACTGAATTGCGTTTTATATATTACTTAAAGTGCCATAAGTAGTTTCAGTACAGTTAAATTCTAAATAAATAGTTCTAATGGAGATTTATGTTACTATCTAAAACATTAAAAACAGTTCAAGTGGGTTCCAGTAAAAAAATTAGCAGCAGTTTGTAAAAGCCTTGCCCAACGATGGTCAATGTTTCATGTTTCTCTGTAAACGAATTCCACAACTATCTGCAGCAAAACTGAAAGGTGTGTTTGTTGGTCGAGGCAATCACAAATTGATGTTTGATTTGAAGATTGAATCACAAATGATATTAAATGGGATAGAAATTTGAGTATTATTCAAATATATTGTAACAAAGTTCCAGAGAAAAAACAAAACAAAAAGAAAACGTAAATGTAAGTGCAAAAGGTCAAATGAAACAATACTTCATTTTTATTCTATTTTTGCTAAAGGTCACATTTCGTAGTCTGCAACCGCTATTAGTAGTCTGCCACTATGGAAAATAGCAGAGGGGAACAAAATATGAAATTATACAAAGAAATTATAAAGAAATAAAGAAAGAAACCGCTATTAGTAGTCTGCCACTATGGAAAATAGCAGAGGGGAATAAAATATGAAATTATACAAAGAAATTATAAAGAAATAAAGAAAGAAACCGCTATTAGTAGTCTGCCACTATGGAAAATATCAGAGGGGAATAAAATATGAAAATATAAAGAAATAACCAGTTTTTATGCTCTATTGTAAAAAAACTCAATTTTCACGTACGGCCTTTTGCACTGAAAGTAGCGATATGTTTCAATTCTTGCCAACACACTAAAAAATTACAAAAAGTTAGTTTGCTTATTGAGCCTTAATATTAACTTTTTGAACAGTCACATTGACTACTTCTCGGACAATTCGGGTGATGTAAGTGAGGAGAAAGGAGAGCGCTCCCATCAAGGCTTCAAATGGAGAACGATACCAGTGCCGCTGGAACACCAACATGAGCGCTTACTGCTGTAACAAAGAAGTTCATCTAGAACTTAAACATACGACACGCAAGAGAAAAATCACATCAGAATCTTTAAGGGGATCCAATTTTTTTAAATTTTTAATTTTTAATAAATTAACTTTTTTCTATATATATTTTTTTGGTCTTAATATGTATAAGATTATATATTTATTTCTTCTAATATCCATGAATCATCATGTGTTTATTTTTACTAAAATAATCCGTATATTTCCTTAAATTAATATTATTTATGTTTGTAACTATTGCCTACATAGTTTGATATAATTGAATCATTCGATTTTATCTTTACCATTCTAAAGCTGATAAACTGCGGCCTGTCTTCAACACGGTCAGCTGAAGAAAATTGTCAATGAGAGTTTATAGATTTTATTTAATAATAATAATTATGACAATCTTGAAAATAAAGTATTGCGTAGAATATTCGGACCGAAGAAGGATGAGTTAACCGGAGAGTTCAGACGGTTACACAACGCCGAATTGCGTGAGTTGTATCCGGGTAATATAATTGATGTAATTTCATCGCGGCGAATCAAATGGGCTTGTATAGTTGTGGGGCTTAGTAACGAGAGAATTCCTAAAAGGTTAATATTTGCTGTGCCGAATGGTAAGCGTCCGAGAGGTAGACCGAAGCGAAGGTGGGAAGATTGCATTAAAGCCGATATGAAGGGACTGGGTTTGGACGGCGAACGGTGGAGGGAGGTGTGTAACAAGCGATTGGTGGTGTCGGCATCGAACCTTCGGGTTCGCTAAGCCTTATTATTATTATTATTATTATAATTATGACAATCTGGACGACCGGCAATATCTGTCGCATGGTGCTTGTAACAATAAAAAAAAATTTACGAAAAGTCAATATTTTTTTCAAATGAAGTTTATTTAATGTAATCTTGATTTCTAAACTTGACATTCTTCTACTTGAAATAAAAAATTACTTTATATTTCTAAAGTTTTATGTGAAAGCTCATTCCAGAAGATTTCAATTCCAGAAGTAAGAAGACAGTCCAACAAGTGGGCCTTGTGGTACGTTTTGCTAACCACTGATCTCTACTTGATTCATTTTCCGGTACCGCCGAGAAATAAGTATTAACTTATTTAAGGTGGTATTCGAACCCACAACATTCTGCAGTCGGTCCTCTGGGACACACTACCCAACGTGCTTGGCTGTCGCGTCTTTAATACACTCTACTATTCAGTAATGAAAAATAACAGCAGCGGATATGCGAATCACAGTCATCCACGGGTCGTGTGAAATAAACAACAAACGCCTTACTTCAGAAAGCTTGCACAAGGCAGCCTATGCCGCACGGGTTGGCCCCCCTCCATTGAGCATGTTAACTCGAGCCGTTGTGGAAGCCAGACCACTAATATCATAAATTATAACTTATCCACTTGGAGTGGAAATTTTTCCTTCCATCGAGTTGAGTGGGTACTCTCGAATCATTATCCCTTTGCTAACAAAGTCATCATGATACTATAAAGTACCTTTGAATCCCTCTTAAATTCAACTTAACTAAATTAGTCTAGCGAAAACCCTATTATACAGGGTGTTTCGTAATTTCACGGAACTATTTTAGGTACGTGTTCACTAACACAAAATTAACAAAAAAGTGCATATTAACATATATCTCAAACTTATTTATTAAACAGATATCTAAGGTTAATGATTTATTATTTATTTACTACATTAAGACTGACAATACAAAGTTTAACATGTTTTACTAAATAACAGGTTTTAATCACCTGATAAACAAATGTACTATAAGCAATGACAGTAGTTGCTCATCTGTCTGTCTAGTTCTGTGCGTTTTAGTGTGAGTGAATTTATGATTATCATGAGAGACACTATAAATTTATTCACTTTTCATACCACTAATCATATGTTAATAATCACTAATTACTAATGATATTTTAATATGAATTTTTTTGTTTATTTTGTGTTAGTGAACACATACCTAAAATGGGACCATACAATTACAAAACAGCCTGTATAGCAACAAAATATTTGTTGAATGTCTTGACATTGAATTAAAATTTAAGATGTTCCATATTTTTCATGTCAATAAATATTTTTTCTATTCTGATAAAGAATTATACCACTTAAAATAATCACCATTGTTCCTTAGAAGGGCAGGAGCGTCTGAGGATAGTAGCCAGAAATACCGTTGAGTATTGCAAAACAGTATACACAAAGTCTGTAAGGCGCAGTAGTTCATAAATGCTGTTTTGGCTGTTAGTTTTAGTTATTAGTTTATATAAATATTTTATTTATTGAAGTAAAAACTTATTTAGGCGAGTTTTGCCCTTTTTCAAGAGAGTGAATTAGATTAAGCCGTCATATTTCCGATGTGTAACGCTCGGGTAAAGTCGGCTGGAGTCGACTAATTAAGTGTTTTTGCATATGGATTAAAATATCTCAGAAACTAAAACTCGGACCTGCATATTGTTAGCGAGGAAAATGTTCATAATTTCCTCTTTACAATGGGCATTATTCAAAATTGTATGTTAACGCAACGCCGTGTTAGGGAGGCGAAAAAGAAAAAAATGGTATCAAAAATTAAGTGAAAACGAGTTGAATTTGAAAAGTGAAAATGAATAATTAGGGGAACCGAATCATTTACCACATTTGTTTTTTTACTTTAAATATTAATTTGCTCCTATCAATTTGTGTCGACAATCAGCAAAGAGCTGAAATACGAGACATACTGACTTCAGGCATGGGGAAGGGCAGTGCTCCGCAGCATCTCATCTCTGACTTGCTTCAATTACTTCGGTTGTCTACGAAAGGAAATCTCTCATCCAACGCCTTTTAAGTCTCATATTCAAGAGTATGTCATCTGTTGTTATTAATTTGTTGAATTATCTGTTTAAATTTGTAAAAAATCGTTGGTAGTGGGTAGTTATGTGTTGGTCGATTGTTGGAAGGTGGAATTCAGTGTGTGGAGTTTTTATAGATTGTTCTTTTTCGCAATACAGTATATCTGTGATAAATATGTCTATATGGATTTAAGTAAGTGTGTATATGTATTCAGTTTCTGTCTCAGTTTTAATTCTCATGATTTAGAAAAAAGAGGGTAGGATAGTTTGGATGCTTTGTCAAGTGTCATACGATTTGTTTATATGTACGAGAACTTTTTTCATCATCCTTTTGTCGAACGTAAGTCCAAGATAAAGTACCGTGTCCATTTGACGAATTTGGTTGTTATCATATAAAATGAAAAACAGGTATTTTTTTCGAAAATTCAATCTTAAATGTTTGGATATGTCATAATTAAGTCCAATTTTCCACGAATTGAACCAATCTTGTAATTTAAGTAATAATGTTGTCAAGTTAGTGAGACCTGTTTAGGATCTTGGTGTTGTGTGAGAATTGTTGTGTCGTCTGCATAAGTAGCTGTCAATATCTATCTCGTTACAGGTATATCGTTAGTGTATACAGTGTAAACTAGAGTGGCAAGTATCGAACTTTGGGGAACTCCTGTCAAGAAATTTCCAAGCCTTGCGTAACTCAGAAAAATCTGCCGAAGAGGAAAGTTTAAATATTAAATTTCATTGTAATACAGCTTAAACATTATTGAGAATACGAATCTGCTTAATATAATCAATAAATCGTCACCAACTACAGTATATTTTTAATGGTCAATTTAATCAAGCTATTAAGTGGCACCAGAGTATCTATTATTATTATTATTTATTTTTAAGATCGTTACTTATTCAAGCGACTTTCTATCTCTGTTTTTTTATTCAGAGAGTGAACTTAGTTTTTATTAACTATTTCTAAAACTATTCTCTTTTTTCTACAGGCAGCTGAAAGTGGTAATCTAGAGGACTTTAACAGACTGTTCTTGGCCGAGCCAGAAAGGTTGAATGTAAGGGACAGCAAAGGGCGTGCGGCGGCCCATCAAGCTGCGGCCAGGAATAAAATTAACATCCTTCAGTTCATAGCAAATCACGGAGGAGGTAAGTGTTGTTCCCATATTATTTTTAACACCTTACTTATGATTTATTACAAATCTATTTGTATAATATCTTAATAGCTAAAAATTCGCCCTACGTTCATTTAATAATTAAAATGAATAAATGTAAATGAATTAAAATTAATATAAATAACTGTTAAGAATATAATGGCTGTGAAATGTGGAAGGCATTGAACATATGGAATGGAGGTTAGGTTAATACAATATTTTTAAAAAGTTATAAAACTTTTGGTTTTATTAAAAAATAGTTGAAGTGATCTAATTAAAATATTTTTCATATTGGACAGCAACATTGGATACTATTCGAGTATTTGTGCAACTGAGATACTTTAAACATTTGCGAATCCGCACTTCCTGTTTCTGGAAAGGAGCTGAATTGTTTCGATTTGCATAAGAAACAAGAATTACCTCTCTTTCATTATGTTTTTATTTTACCTCGTAAGAATATATTTAGGTATCAAAAATAATAAAAACAATATTTAAAAACTGACTCGCCTCTTAAAAACTGGTAAAAAGTTGTGGAGTTTGAGTGGAAACTGTTTAGAATGTATGTGAATAACAAAGACTGACAGTTTTTTTTTAAATTAAATTTACAACTGTATTACACGGAAAATACAACAAGTAGATGTGACATTGGTAACATGACATGTACAACGTGAAGAGAAACTACCAATTGGTAGAACTCAAATTAAAGTTCTATATTAGATGGTCCCGAGGTCATCTTCTTTTCAGACGCCTCGAAGGGTTATCAGGGATCGAGGAGGAAGCAAGGTTTGAAGGATTCGGATGGTTCTGCAGTTTTTTATGGAAGGATAGGTATCTGGATTGGGCCAAATCGGAAACATATGGAACATTAAGGTCTGTATGGATGATTTTATTTGTGACAAAGTAAGGAGCGTTGAGGATTTTACGAAGGATTTTGGATTATAAGGATTGGATACGAGAGGAATTCGATGGTTTAGTGGAGCCCCAAAGCTCAATTCCGTAAGTCCAAATAGATCTTATTATTTTCATATATATGAGTCGTTTGTAATTGATTGAAAGCTTAGAGCGTTTGTCTAGAGATAATAATTTAAAGATAAAATCTAGAGAAGGTTATAGAGATGTTACTCTGAAACTGGGTAAAATAATACACATATATATATTTAGGTGATTTTATTAATGCTTAACTTCTGCAATATTTTTTTTAACCATGAAAAAATAATTCAAATATGGAATTGTATTATTTCCCTCCTTTATTGATTTTCAAGGTATAGAATCATTTTTCTTAGTGATAATGGCATATATTGTATTTCTTTATTATCGTTGTTATCATGTATAAAATTATTTATGTTTCATTTTTTAAGAACTCAAATTTTGAATGAGTCTTATATGAGTGCGATAAAACTTACTGTATTTTTTATAGATTTTCACAAAAAATAAAGATAAAATTATCAATTTTCCATCTCTCTTGCCTTCCTCCTATCAAACTCTACTACAGGAACCTGTGTAGGCTATTTATTTATGACGGAGAATATAATGAACTATTTATGATAATAAGTTTTAGCTTTTTTTCTTTCAATGTTCGTTTCTTAAACTTAATTGAATCGTTTAAGATTGCACATTTATTTGATTTGACAAAAACATCAATCATCAGAATCCGAAGTTGAAACCAATATCGATAATTCGGCAACAACTGAGGTAGAAGGGTAAAATGAAAAATGGTTCTTTAATTGTCTGGGTTTCTATCCCGCATCGATCATTTATGATTCACTTATTTCCTCCATGGTCATGTGACTTGTTTATATCACTTGTTGTGATAGCTATATAACTTATTTTTACAATTATAAAATTTAATTTTTAATATGTTTATTTTCAAATATTAAAATGTGGAATACTTGAATGAATTTAGTGATAAATGATATATGTATCAAATCATACAATACTTGCAAATAAAAAAAATTTAACACTTCACACTTGAAAAATATCTAGAATTGATAATTTATAAATATAATCTAAATTGACAAAATAAAGAAAATTAAAATTAACCCAGCTATTCTCATAATTATCATCAAACTTACCACAAGAGAGGTGAATCATAAACAATTATCCACGTTATACCAAAATTATGCTATAAGAGTTACAGCTTCCCACTATAAAACAATATATTTACTTTAAAACTCAGAGATTTTTTGAGTTAACACCAACGTCTGAAAACCCTATGATCCGAAAAATAGGAAACTATGACAAGACATCTTTGAAACGATATACACACAGGCGGACTAAAAACATACTACTAAAAGTCTAAATCAATCTGTTAATTATGAAAATTTAACGGATTCTTATCTATCAACAAAAAAGTAACAATAAACTCAATTACCCCAATTAATAAATTGAATTTATAGGATGTGTGCGTATATGCATTGATATGTTACCTTTTGGGGGTTTATAATTGGATTCGGGATGCCACTGGATAATTATTGATGATAATTACCCAGAACTATTTCATAATAAAAAAAAAATAGTAAAATAAAATTGGATCTTGATATATTGATTGGCCCAGAATTAATTAATTGGATCTCTTTTCTCAAAGGCTGGTTTGTGTTTATCATGCTTTCTAATTGCCTGATCATCATGATATAATTAAAATAACTTTTACTAAACAACATAATTTATTTCTATGCTTAATAAAGAATATATACAAATTATATTTACAAGAATTACAAATTATAGTTACAAGAATCAATGAATTCAATAATGAACTGTGAAGGCATGATTTCAGATGGACTGTTTGAGAATTATTTTGCCATGAAATATTATACCATTATTAAATTTATTGTTAGGAATAAAAATTATCTATTGTATATGAAGTGGTTTAGTTGGTAGATGTCTTTGCTGCATCTGCTGATCTGAGGTCATCTTTTCAAGGCAAGGTCCAAAAACTTCTCCAAGCCCGTCTGTGTGGTCTATGTAGGGCCAAGGCTTCAGTCCCCAAGCCAGAAGAAAACATCTGACCTATCCTCCAGGCCGAAAATCCACATAAGACCTCTCCTCTAGACTGGATCTCCACATAGATTTTATACAAAATATTCAGGGTGGGGCAAGGGTGGTTTTCATTGGTTGAATTTTCGTAGCATAAGTGCTGACCATGCCTTCAGGCGGTGCGGTCATTTCCTCTTTCTTGAAAGTGTGGGTCTTTGTAGGTGCTTTTGCCGACCTCTGTCCCTAAGTGTTTTATTGTCCCTCACAAAAGATTGCATTCCCTAGGGGTCTATACTCTCCCTCAGGTAACCGCACATGTGTTAGCAATTATTATTTAGTCTATACTTATTCATTTGAAATAATTAAATATATTCCAAATGTGGTCCTTACAATACATAGCAGTTTATATATGTGAGTATGTATGTATATAAATATATATATAGTTTTCTTTTGTAGATAAATTATATTTTGTTTTTCTTGTACTTTTAATGATTGTAATCTAGTTTTTCATTTATATCTTATGTAGGTTTTTTTATGAGGTTTTTCCTAATGTAAAAAATGTATTTCAATTTTCTAAATAGCATTCAAACCTCTAGTATGTCATGTGTAAGATTATTGCAACCACAAACATGTAATTTATCATTATGACATGATGTAATGTATATTAAAAAAAAATAAAGCATTAATAAAATATTACTGATCAACCACAAGGATCTCCGAACAAAGTTTGTCTCCCAACCTTCATTACAACAACTCAATTCGATGAGATGAGACAGCGGTTTTTTTTAACCATGTCTGTGGTATTGAGAGTCTGTGGAAGCTGAGTAAGGACGCCATAACCGTTGATTCTCAGGACTTGAAAGGAAAAGGTATTGTTAGAACTCCAATACACTTAAATTGAAAAAGTCTCTATCCCTTTCAACCTTTTAGGAATAGAGGTAAGGAATTGTGTCAACGTTAACGAGTTATAGATATTATAGAGATATTGATCAATCTCGCATGTATATCAAGATAAAAATTATGACGGTTGAGCGAATTTATTTGTTATTTTATCCTTCTTAATGCTTAATGATAGTATATTTAGAGCAACCCGAAACTAATGAAGTGCGTTGTTGTAGCAACTATTGTATTTTGTTAAACAAATTATCATCACTACCTTATTATTGCCACCGTTGACTGGTGGAGCATACGGCAAGTATAGCCAAGCCTTGCCAGTTCAGGTTATTTTGTACAGTTCTCCGCCATGACTTTCTTTGTCTTCCTCTTCTTCTTGTATTATTCTGAAGAGCTTTTTTTTTCTATGACTCTATGTGATTTTCTTAAAGTGTGTCCTATCCATATCCATTTCTTTTTCCTTATTGATAGGATGTTTCTCTGCGCTACTCACAGAAATCCCCAGGATTTCTCACATAAAGCATGAAGGTATCGGTTAACGGTTTCAGTCACCTTCTATTTAAAACGGCCGTAGAGCAGTATGTTGCGTTGGACTGATGTTATGGTCACTCCGAAAGATATTCCAAAATTAATAGATACCTCGAAACCTCAAACTAAAGGTATATAAAACTATTCATACTTCATCCTCTTGTCATGTATGGTAGTGAGGCTGAAGAAGGTAAAGAGGTAGATCCTAACCAAGCACCAAGAGATGTCACTGAGTACATGGAAGAGAAAGATCAATAGAAGTATATGCAGTCCTACCAAAGAAGTAACCCAGTACCGCGTAAAAAAAACGCAAAACTTAAGGACCTATATGGGGTACCTCTTATAGTTTACTGCATTAAAAAGGATGACTGAACCATGTACATAAGATGGAGTAAAAAAGACTCCCCAAGCAAATAATGGAAGGACGACCAGAAGGAGAAAAAGTAAGAGGCAGGCCTAAACTACGATGGACGGACGATGTAGAGGAAGACTTGAGGTAGGCATGGGCAGGTGACTCCATAATTGAATCAAAAAAGTGATGCCTCTGAAAGAATAGTACTCTCAAGAAATTCCTACTAAAGAATCACGATTTTCCCGGAA